GAGTCAGTCAGTCAGCCAGTTGGCGAGTCAGTCAGCCAGCCAGTTGGCGAGTCAGTCAGCCAGCCAGTTGGCGAGTCAGTCAGCCAGCCAGTTGGCAAGTCAGTCAGCCAGCCAGCCAGTTGGCGAGTCAGTCAGCCAGCCAGTTGGTGAGTCAGTCAGTCAGCCAGTTGGTGAGTCAGTCAGTCAGCCAGTTGGTGAGTCAGTCAGCCAGCCAGTTGGCGAGTCAGTCAGCCAGCCAGTTGGTGAGTCAGTCAGTCAGCCAGTTGGTGAGTCAGTCAGCCAGCCAGTTGGTGAGTCAGTCAGCCAGCTAGTTGGTGAGTCAGTCAGTCAGCCAGCCAGCTAGGAAGTCAATGCATAGGCCAACCAGACTGGTAGTATGTCAGCCAGTCTCTTAACTACATGTTGAAAGGTGTTCATTGGTACATCAGTCAGCCAGTCAATTGGACGGTCATTCAATCAGTAAGTCAGCTAGCCAGTCTGTTAGGTTATCAGTCAGAAAGATAGACAGTAAGTCAGTCTCTTGAGGAAGTAAGCCATTAATTCTGTCAGTCCCCCCCCCCCAAAAAAAAAATTGATATGAAGCTCCAATTAGCCCTTTTGAATCTGTTTCAGTTTTAGCCTTCCCCAAGCTATAATTGACTATTTTTGGAATTAGATTAGTCTCCAATACAGCTTTATGCTTTCTGATAACAATTTCCCTTCTCAGACTCGTGTATCTGGTAAATTGTTCTTTATTGAACTCACAATTCAGACAATTAACTTTGAAAAAACACCATGAAAAATGAAAGAGAGATCAAACTTAATCTACTGTTTATTATAATACACTGCATGTCTGAAGTCAATTTCAAGTTTATATTCTACACAAATTGCATGACACTGATGCCCACTAAGTTGGCAGCATCATGCATTTACTACCTTGCATGAAAACAGAACTTGGCTTAAAAAAAAGGGTTTGTTTACCTGGTACACACTGCAGCTTGATTGCCAAGGGAAACACGCATTTACAAGTTCATTGGATTTAATCTTCGTCCAAATATTCAGGCACTAGGCATTTCACTTTGAAAAATCAGCAGAGATTCCTCCTGATAAGTTCATCTTAAGTGTCCTTACATATTATTTTAACCATAAAATTGACAGACTGAGGTGCTTATCGCTGGAGAGGACTTTCTGACAATTTTGCCAATTAGCTTTGGAAAGTGCCAAACTACCAGCTGAAGGTGTTTGTTAAATTGTTAGAAAAGTTTCAGACTGCCGTCCATTTAGTTATTTGAGAACTGTGATCGGCAGTCCACCTCACACAATTTCTAAGTGTCAACATCCATGGCTCCATGTTCTAAGCCCAGCATAAACGAGCATTAGACATGAGATTTGTTAATCATTTCGGGAAAGCTGGCCATGAAGGCAAATTACAAGCATAGATACATGGAAAAAATGGAGAGTTCATGGAGTAGCAGGGATTTTTCGGCAAAGATTTCCATATAACCCCATACACTAACTATGCAAAGAGTGTTGCAAAGAAACCTTTATATTTAGTCATTGGGAAATGGAATGCATAATTAATGTATGGGGTTATACGGAAATCTTTCCGAATTTTCAAGTTACTCCGAGTTTTATCAAAAAATCATCAAAATAAATGCCACTTTTTACTTAAAATTGTAAAGTTACCTTCATTCGATCGATGGTTCGATGTTTGTACACTCAGTCTGGCCGACTGTAACCTAGCAAAACACTTCCACCAACGCCTCACAAACACACATGATAGCGAGTTACAAAGAACTGAAACTCGAATAATCAAGTAAACAAACCTCTGGTCCAGCATGGAGAGCTCTTACGTATACTGTGAGAAGGCACAAATGGCTTGCACTGTAAGTATCCCGGAGAGCTCCACACAATTTCTTCTAATCTCATTAGAAGAATTTGTCATGATAGAGCTTTTTCAGCGTTAGTCGAGGTGCGGCGGGTGTAATAATAATAATAATAATAATAATAATAATAATAATAATAATTTAAACATATTTATACAGGATTGCTGCTTCAGTTTAGGAAAGAAAACTGCTATCAATGCAGGTCCTGTTAGTGTTGTCACGTATGATCCTTACGCGGTGTTTTTCCCGACGCTCCTCTGACAGAAGAACGTCACATAATGAAAGCAAACCAGAAACGATTGGGGAACAACTACGGCTTGCACATGTCATCAAGTTCATTAAAACGAGGATTGAATTTCCTGCATATCAACAGCTCATTTGTATTTCGAAAATAGATCAGTTAGCTACATAATTATGTCGGAAGTTGTGAAGGATTTTAAAGATAAAGAAAAACGAAAAGAGCGAGTTATCAAAATATGAAAAAACACTCCAGAAGAAAGAAACAGACAGAGAAAACAATGGAGAAAGAGGAAACAAGGGAAGCGAATGCCAAATTCAACGAATGAAAATGTTGAACTAAAATCATTCAACCGCGAAGCAAATGACTTGGTGCCATGTACTTCTGAGGCCAAGGAAAAGAAGCCACGTCCTTCTACCAATATCTTGAGCCAGAAAATGTCGAGAAACCCTGGGCCATTTCCTCGCGCTTAAATCAGGCAGTAGAGGGAAGAAAGTGGACTTGGATGGTTGCTCAAGAGCTGCTAACTTAAAGATGATTCAAATGGCTGTTGGTGTCGACGCAATTGTCTCGAGAAACAAATGAGGAACAGAAAATTTCTGTTGCATTTGAAGACTTATTGTTAGAGCAGTGGTGGCCATCTTGCAGCCGAATGCAGGCACTGTCGATTCTTTGAAAATTGCCTGGAAAACTGGCAACAATAGGTGATCGCTTAAAATATTGTGTCGGCGTTTATCCACAAACTTTGGTACTAAGAATGTACCAACTCAATTGTGGACTTAATTCAGGGCTGATGACCCGATTGAAGCGCGAGAAACCTTCCTCGGTGCCATCTCTACCGTTACTGAATCACGCGCTTGTAATATGAACGTGCAAAGAAAAGATAGGCGGTCAATATTATATTTAATATTTTAAATGGTTATTTTATTATTAAGTATTAACCACACCCACGACTTTTACCCACACCCACGACCCACGACTTGTACCCACGACCCACGACCATTAGTCAAACTCGGCCAAATACCATGACATTCGAATATTAATTAAAACTGTCACATTATCCAGGTGCTAACTCGAGGGTGTTGATAGCTCAAGCTAGTCGGCCCATGACATATTTAATGAGATTAAATGAGATTAAAGACGGGATTATCACACCCGAAAGAGACCAGCCCAGCAGGCGTAATACTTGCAGTGCAAAGCACTTGTGTCTTCTCACGGGCAGGGGTGGGGGTGGCGGGGGAGTGAGTTGTTCCCACATGCAACATGGCCGAACTCATCTACGCTCGAAATGATTCGTGGGAGATGTAATCAACCTCGTTCCCATGATATTCTTGACTCGAAAACCAATTTGACGGACAGACGATGCGTGGCGAGCCGTCAAGCTTGACAGCTCTCTATGTGTTGTCTGTCCATTAGACAATGTTGATCAAGATTGTCTAATGTCGATACTGCAGAACACACAGTCGAGGAAAACGTCGTAACCGCTTTTTGAGAATGAGATCAGAAAGATTTTTTTTTTTGTTGGAATCATCTGTGATGTAGTCCGTGATGCACAAGAAAATCGCGCTCACTTCAAGAGGGTACAGCCAAGGCCCAACCTCTGTCAGCCCTGGTACAACTCTTAACCCTGAAGATGTCTCTTAATGTTTCTTTCCGACTGCTATACATTGTATTGCTAACTAGGAATTTGGTATTAAGTCAAGATAACAAGCTCCAACTGACTAGTTTGTTCTGTTCGTCTGTTGGCGAGCTAAGGAGAACCATTTCAAACGCAGGCCTAGGCTCTGTCCCAGGCTCTGTCACAGACTTCTTCGCAGGGGATTATTATAGAGTTTGTATAGTGGTTTAGTTGGACTTGCTTTTGAGCTCCATAAATACAAAGTTGTGTGAAATAATAAAAGAAATAAAGTCTTACCTTCATACAGAGTAGTCTGTGCTGTTCTTGTCGGGATTTGAGGCCGTTTTGCTGTGTTTCAGCTCAACGTCCTACAACTACCAAGTAAAAGGGAAGGCAGGAAACCTCTGTCTCACACACGCTCGCCAAAATCGCTCGAAAAACACACTTAAATACTTCCCCTTGAATCGAAACTTGGCAGCACGAAAGCCAAATAGTTTCCCTTCAAGTTCATCAAAACAAATCCCACAAAAGTTGGGTTGTCAAGCAACCAGCCAAGCGAAAATCTCAAATTGACCGCCATTTCAACGCAGTTGGAATGCGCGTCCATCAAAATCTGTGCAGTCAAAAGTTCGTTACGACGCGGTCAGCCTAGCAAAATTAGGCCCAAAGGGTAGCCACACAATATGAATGATTAGTCAGAAATAAATGCCAACCCACAAGTGGAGGGAATATTTTGCTAAATGGCTTGCTGTTTTGGTAAACATTGGCCACAGTTGACAATTGCCTGGGTCGCCTGTGTTTCAAATCGCAGATGCAGCAGATGATGTTAGGCCTAGTTTATACGTCGCGCTAAAGTCGAATTTTATTCAGACGAATTTAATTCAAGGTCGCACAAGCAATTAAATTCGACGCGGAGAACGCGACGTCTAAAACGAATTACATTCGTCTGGTAAATTAGATTCGTCCGTTTTATCCGTCTTGGTAAGACGGATAACATATCGATAACGCGTCTTCAGTTTTAACGTCGCACTAGCGTCGCGTCGAATGAAATGCATACATTTTCTTAATGTATTTCAATTTATTTCAAAACGACACCACTGACCAGAGGCACTGCATTTGAGAAGAGAATTAAATTCGATCGTATTGATTTCGACGCATAAAACCACGCTACGATTTACGTCGACGGAACGAATTTAATGGGATTAATTCGACTGTAGCGCGACGTATAAACTAGACCTTAGGCGGTTAGACGGCAGGCGGGAGAATTCACCTTTCGCGGGTCGCATATACATTGGCGCAGTTCATCACCTCTCTTGTCTAGGGCAAACAAAAACAACCCGGCCCCGAAATGCATAACTATTTTGAAGTCTCTGAACGATTAAAAAACAAACAAATAAACAAAAACAAGAATTGACGCACTTAGTTAATCTTCGATTATTACTAGTCATAAAGGTCTAATTTTAAGGCAAGTTTCAAGTTGTGTTAGGTCTAACTAAATTTAACAAATGTATTTAATACAGTCTCTCAAGTGATTATCCAACCAACTGCTTTGGAAACAAATAAAAATAACACAGCAGTAATTTGGGAAATTTCCGCTTTTTAAGTGTTACATGCATCTCGCGTGTGATGACCTTTGACCAACAGAGCGCGCAAGTCCATCTGACCAAACCTTACTAGCAATTTGTGGCTTAAATTTAATTTTTTTTTAAGTATTTTGAAATTCTTTGGTCCATTTTATTGAAAACTATTCTGAAATGAAATATTCTCTCATTTTTCTCGCGCTCCATATGAAGTTAGCGCCTCTGCCGCAAGTGAGCCTTCATTTCCTGGATACGATTGGCCAGCGTTCGGTTTGATGATGCGCATTTCCCAAGAACTAGATCCAGATCCTCCTCGCTCTTCTGAGAAAAAGCTGTTTCTGCCGCATCCTCGAATTTCCTGCGAACAGAAATGAAACTTAATTGAAACGGGTACATAAAAGTTCATTTTTTCTTGAGACTGACCATCATAAGCATCATAGGCAAATATTCAAAAGGCAATTTTAGTGAAAATCTTTGTCCATGCGACTCAATTATTCTCAGAGAGAGGTCACGAAAATTCAAAATTGGTTTCAATGGACCTCTTAAGCTGTCACTTATTCCTTCCTGTGAATGCTAGTCATAACTCTAAGCTCCTTAAAGCGAAAAAGAACAACTCAACAAAAATTTCAGCTTTAAATGAAAAAAAGGAATAAAATAAAATTTGAAAATCGAAGAATAATAAATAACCTGAAAAGAGGTCGACTTGTTCTATGACCACAGTTCACAAAGTGTCACTGAGTTCTCTATATTTTGGTGATCTGTTTGTACATTTTGAAGCTACAGGAGAGGCATTCTTGCCTTAGATTTTTTTTGCAGTGTTAGCGAGATTGCAAGCAAGTTGCCTGTGGAACCAAGCAACGACTGCGAAGAAGGCTACGAAGTTGCTGAGCTGTTTCCGTAAAAATAGAGGCATTCATTTTCGATTTTCTTGCACAGTTTAAAACAGTTTCGCATGGTTTGCTCTCTCTTTGGAATCCAAAAGGCGTTAAAAAGTAAACTGGTGTACACTTTCTAATGACACGATAAAATTCATAAGGTTTCTAAAGATAGGAAATAAACAAGAAAGGTTTTCATACCCAAGTTTGACAAAGCAGGCCACTTTGTTCTCTGGTAGAACTCGAGGGACGTATTTTTCTGCCTCAATCCTGTTGTTGAATTCAAGGCAAGCATCGAAAAATGGCTGCACGAAAGAACAACATAGTTTCAAAATACAGCTACGTTGCCTTTTTTTAGCAACTGGGTATGTCAGTAATAACTTCATAACAGGAGGAAATGCGTTGAAAACTAGTTCTTAAAGTCTAATTTTAGCTTAATCCAACAAAATAGCTTGCTGCAGTAAACAAGGAACTAAAACATAGGTAATCCCAAAACTAATTATGAGGATTAAACAAGAAGGTGATTTACTCCATTAACAACTGCCTGTTTTGAGGATAACCGGTCGTTTCGCCACTGCATCATTCGCCAACGAACAGTTCGCCAACGTGTGAGAGATTAAACACATTTTGAGACCACCTCACCTCATATCCTATGGGAGATTTTCGCGTTTTTGAAAACTTGTCCAGTTCCAGCCATTTTTTACCTTCAGCAAGTGCTCTGACTTTCAGCCAATAAAACCTGAGCAATAAAAAGTATAGAAGATTAATTTAAGGCTAAATTAAACTATGTTAAGTTACACGAATGTTCAGCGAAATGCGGGTGAAACTGCCTTATAAACACATTGTTAATCCAGCAAGTTGGTAAACTTTGATTTCATTGATCAAAAGAAGAAGAAAGGGGGAAAAGAGATGTTATTCAGGGTAAGATATAAGCATACTCGGAGAAAAAGGACTTCGAATACTCCCAGTGGGTGTCGAACTTTCCACCAACCAGTTAATTCTTTGGACGCTCCGAAGCGCGAGGCTAGCGCAGGGAATGTGCGAGGGAAGTGTAAAGAGAACGCGAGGATAGCGCGAAAGGCGAGACACGCGCGAGTGGATGAGCACTCATCATCTCGCGCATGACTAACTCTTCATGCTTTCCTCTCGGTCGCCTCGCGCTTTCCTGGCGCTCGCTTCACACCGTGTATTCGTAGAGAGCAGTTTAGCTACAAACCTTTTGTCTGGAACTTTGAACTCTTTCTTCAATTGTTCGACTGCTTTCAAGTCTCCGAGAAGAACACACTGCAACGAAACAACGAATCATTCAGAAAGACTTAACGAAGTTTCGGTAGTTCAGACTGTCTACAAATTAATTATTATTCAGGGGAAAAAAGACGATTTTCTTTCAGGTATTCCAGCGTTGGAACAACGGTACTCTCGCTTCTCCGCCCGCTGTACCGCTTCTACCAAGATAAAGCCTTTCGTCTCCGCCCGCCGTTCGAGGGTTGAACCCATGATCACACCTGATTCACATTTCTTTCTTTTCTCCAATTAGAACTCTACATTGCACATACAACTTTAACCTTTTACACCAAGGATTTAATTAGTAATTCTCTCTACCGAATGCCATACATTCTCTTAGAAATTAGGCGAGAGAATTGGGTGATGCATCGAGGCAACACACTCCAGCTGATGAGCTTGTATATTCTTAAAACCTGTTTACAAAGGAACATTTTGGAATCGCAAAGAGATGTTTTGTGTCAGTCACTCATTGGAGTGAAAGGGTTAAATTAATTACATTATTGTAATATACGCAATTCAGCCGCAAGGCTGCTAGGTATATTTAAATAAACTATCTATCTATCTATCTATCTATCTATCTATCTAAAGAGATTTTTCACCGCGTTAACGTGAAACGATAAACCTCAGCTTTCCCTTTCACGTTTCACGTTAAATAGCGTGAACCTTGCTTCTTTAGCTTCGCGTGAGCTCGCGTCATAGTGGATTTAAAGGCGCCCGTGTATGACTTACAAGAAAACGTTTCCGTACCCTTTTTCCGGAAATTAACTTCTACTCTGTGAGAGAAGAAGTGAAGAAAATCTTACGTAAACGGCAAACACGAAATAGGTTACTTTCACGTAAAAACGGCAAAGTGCATCCGGCAAACGTGAAAAGAAAAATGGCAGGAAAAAAAAAGATCACGTGGTCCCTCTTGCCGTTCACGTTTTACGTAAAAGCGGTGCTAAATCTCTCTAATGTCTGGATGCCACATTAATTTCAAACCTGGTAAATGGTATCACTCAAAGACATATCCATAAAGGTCTTTGGGTGCTTTTCCCTCAGTCTAACTTGATATTCCATCAGTTTAATCTGTTCTTCTGTTGCCTATAAGAAGCCGAAAACCAGGAAATGATTGTGTATGACACTCCACAAGTTTATTTTCCCCTCCATTGAGGGAAAGTATTATGCAACATTCTTATACCGTAACAAAATTTCATCACGCAAGGAAATAAATGAACTGAGAATGAAACCAAATCAAAAAACAAAAAAGACACTTAGCAACGAATGAATTTGTTTACATCTACCCATGATCCACTAAGCACTGAAATGGTACTGAAATGCTTCCTTTGACAACAGCAACACCAATAACAAAAATGTTCTACTCTGGAGAGAAACATTTGGGCATTTTTGTCACGAGGGTGACAGAGAAAAAAACATTTTAGTTCCCTGTGAGGAATTATCGAGTTCCACACCTTGACTCTGTTACAACGACGTGGGACAACCAACGCCTACCTTTGCATAAAACCAAAAGTTTCCTTGTTGGTATGACATCTGCGCCTTCGACAGTGCTTTAGTCTTGGCCTCTAGCGTCTAAAGGAAAACGGAAAGAAACCTTCTTTATAATCTTCGACGGTTTGTATTTCCACAAAGTGTTACCAATAATCATGGGTTACCATTACTATTCATGAGAACTACAGCACAGTTTATGCTTTTTGAAAAGTGAGTCTAAACTTTCTAAGTACATTATACGCAATATATATTTCAACCTACCCCATTCTTAGCCACCCTCGCTTCTTCTTCATTTGCTATTACCTCTGCGTTTTTCTGTCTTAGAAACCAATCATTATTCATCGCCCGGACGGGGTGACACAACCAAAATCCTCCGACCCCCTCTCCCCCCCCCCCCGGCGATAAATAACGACAGGTCTCCTCCTCACTACTATTTGGCAGTCCCTGAAAGGTTGAATGTCGTTTTGCATTGTTTTTCCGCACGTCAAGTTTCCAACGAACGCAGTTTTTGCAATCTCGTCACGCTGTCAATGAAGTTCCTAGCTTACGTGTAGCCGTACCCTCCCCCCGAGGGAAACGTTTCTCCTGGGGGCGGAGGTGCGGCTACACGTAGGCTTTGAAGTTCTGTGCAATCTTAAATAATACTCTTCCAGTCCTTATATTTTTACAAGCGTCTCAATTCTCCAATTTCGGAAGTCACCTTTTCACTGTAGCTGTCTTGTACAAAGGCGTTGCCACTGTTCAGAAACTGATCATCCTGGTAAAACAAGTCAACGAGTGTGCGACGATCTTGTTCTTTACAATACTACAAGTGAAAACAGGTCCGCAAAGCGTACATATAAACAGGACAAGAATTCATGGGTTAGCAGTGGTAGATATAAAGTTGCAAAGCATACATGTTTGCACGGCACGATATCTGTACTCCCAGAGACATTCGTCGGGGGGGGGGGGGGTGGTGTATCTTCTCCCACCGTTTTACTGACGGTCGTCACATCTCAAGTCTTAAAAGAGCTGCATAATCCAATGTTAGAGTGAAAAGAGGGGTAATGCATCCCGAGTTTCTCGCTTTGTCGGCGACCCAACATTGATCGTAAAAAAATAGGCTCACAATGCGTACATGTGGCACACAAGGTCTAAAATCAGTAGTGCGTTCATGTACTGTGGAACAGTTCGTCAAGAATAGGTTTGTCTGTGTTCTTTACGCATGTGGGCATTCTATAAACGAGGCTCTGGTTATACATGCACAAAAGCTGAAGCGCAGCTTAAAACTTGACACTCAAAGTCACGAAAAAATCATTCAACAAAGGAATCGACAACATGTCGGACCACTTCGCCACAGTATCATCCAATCGATTCACGACTTTTTAAACCCTCACCTTGATGTATAGGCTAAGGGCTACAGGCCTATGACGTATAGCCATCAGGAACTCTCCCAGAGTCAAATTGTCCTTCAGATGCATCACAACCATGTACACTGAAAACATACGTCATGTATAAATCATCCAATGTCACACATAGCGTACGAAAATAAGTAATTAATGACTTCCCCTAAATTTGTTCAAAAACAACACTTGAATTACAGAAATTGCAACGAGACTGACATAAAATGGGAACAAGATGGTATTGAATATCAACATCTACGATATCTAATCACAGAGTTTGCTTAGTTAACTAGAAAATATATCCCCTGTCAAACAAAACAACGGTAAAATTCTTACAGTTTTGTTTCCGAAAGAAGCAAAATTAAATCAAAGAAGATGCATATCAAAATTGTTAATCCCAAGGGTAAAAGCGACTTTAGAAGAATGATTTCATTGCAAAATTGACAGAGTGAACCATTTAAGTCATGAAAACAGATTTCAGTATAACCGTAGTATAACCGTAGTAAACCCGCTGCTTCAACTCTTTAGGGCTAGCTAGAGATTGCAGTGCACATGCTCAAGGCTTACCTAAGTCTGTGTCACCACTCATGATGGCTTTTTCGAGTGCCAGGTCATCTTTCTTCATACGCATGAGCAGTGGGACTTGATCGGCAGCCTTTGCTTCATAGTCCAGCAGCTGTCAGAAAGAGAGACATAAAAGCACTCAGAGCCTGAAGCCAATTGATGGAACTACTCTACAACTGTTCCTGTATCCTTTTACATTGTATACATTTAATGAGTTTCACTAATATTGTTCCAAGTTGGGAAATTTCATAGGTGGCATCGTTTCGAAAGTAGTACTTGACAATTTTAATTACAATTAAACAAAGTTTCTATAAAACAAGCGTTCTGATTGGCTGAAAGGGTGTGCTTCATTAAAGTACAGATGCACGGAGTAACCACGGCACGCCATCTACGTCGCACGTCATCTACGTCTCACGTTTGCCCCTACACTTCTTTCGAGTCCTAGCCGCTTCCTGCTTACTTTACAACAGAACATAGCACATTCGAGGTTTCTTTATTTCTTACTGATCTTCGCAAAAAAGGGAAAAAGAAATATACAGAGACTACATGTGTTGTAGAACACGACTACTCCGTTCTTCGAAGAAAATTTATCTAGATAAAAACATCATGAGCAACCTTGATAGCAAGATGTGTTCTTCCACAGTCCACTGCTTTGGACGCAATCTCTGAATATGATATCCCAGGGGTCTCTCCGAGTTTGGAATTGATGGCTCGGGCTATTTCCTCGTCATCAACATTTGCTTGTTGAACCTGAAAGAAGTTGAGAGGAGTTGGGTCACTATACTGTTGTTAGCATTTACAGTGCTAACCAAAGGGAACTTAAATGGTATGCTATATTAATCGGACAGTGATGCTATACGTCAAGATAAATGGAATTTAAAAGTAAGAGGAAAATTAAAAACGTAGCGAACGTAAAGATGACTGCAAACCGTGGGTCAACTTTTTACAATTTACCCGAAGAAAGCAATCCTACGAACCTTTTTTTTAAGTCTTACTCTGAAAGCCTTCTGAGTTAATTTTGTAAGACCAAATCAAGAATAGCAAAAAGCAAGCGTGCGCGGCCGAGTGGTCAGCGTGTCGGACTCGCAATCTGCCGCTCTCGGATTCGAGTCCCGCCCTGACCACTTCCTGGATTTCTTTCACGATAGCTCCGTGTTCAAATCCTCGGCCATGCTTGTAAATAGCCAACTGGTTTGCCTCTGGCCAGTTGTGATTCTTAATAATGTTATGTTCAATTTGAATTATTTTTTTCAGTTGTTTATCGAGAGCCACTAGTTCATCAGTTGAATTACTGTCATGTGTTATCCTCATTAAATAAAGTTGTTATTTATTATCATTATTATTATTTTATTATTTATTCCCTTCCTAGAAGCGCATGTTGTTAGGAGCTTACTTTATAACAGGCCCAGTGCCCAAGGATACGACTGGCCCCTTCTCCTTTAGGCATCTTCAAATAATCACAGATCCGAATGGCCAGACAATAGTGACGTCGTAGAACAAGTCTGAGGGTAGAGAATATGAGGAAAAATTTTTTTTAAACTGACATAATCGGACTAAGATAAAACAGACATGGTTATAATGTGTATTTATTTCTGAATCATAACTTTCTATCTAAAGATACTCTCACGATCAATAATTCATCTTATGTAATATCCCCTTGATATTAGCTGAAAGAGCCTAGTTCAATTATGATCAACTAACGAAGAATTAAAGTCAATAACAAGTTTATTCACCAAATAGGTTTTCATCACTCAGGCAGAAAACATAAGGGTACTTTCCTTTATCCAATAATTCAATCTTAAAGAACTAGAAGGCAATGACTGGCACTCTTTTAATGAATGAAAAATTCAGATAGTTCTATGCTGTGCAAATGTCTCACTGAATACTCTTAAAATGTTGCATATCCCACCAATATGCCCAGGTCACACTATAATTTATTTTGTTGTTGTTGTTGTTGTTTTTTTTTTGGGGGGGGGTACACTCAAAAAAGTTTAAATTTTAAAATCACATTCTTACCTGTCGATCAAAGTTTTCATCGTAAGCTTTTCCAGTCTACAGAAAGTGTTAAGGTCTTTTAAGAAACATGGAATAAACACGCTGAGATACGTTGCGTATCTCAACTTCCTCCAACATGTTATGCATGGCAAGCCCAAAGAACGCCTGCGTCTAAAGCTTTCATTTTCCATGATTACCCTACTACAACCTATTTAGTATTGATTATATTCCCGAGTATGTATTTTCTTTTTCCATTCCTACAATTCCTTCGAGATTTTCAGTCAAGATCTTTAGCCCATAAAGTGATAGGGAAGGTAGAATCCAAATCAAACTTCATCTTTCAGGTAATAAGTCTCGCATAGTAAGATAATTTCTTATTAATAACCAAATTTCCCACAAGAAACCATTTAAATCGTGACCAAAATAATGTTTTACTTGACCATTTACCTTAACTTCCAATATGTTATCAGGTATTCTCCCTTTAATGCTCCTATAAACTTCCTTGCAAGAAAGTTATGATGACAATTAAGATCCTACTCTCCCACTGATATGAGGGTCAATTCTCCACACCCGTTTGCCGGTCAACGTTTTAAATGATGTTAAATTGTATGTCTAAGGATACTGGCTGTATGTGAGTGGCACACCCACCATGTAGTCCCGCACGGCATTCAAAACTCTCAGATTTCTACACATTGTCACGAATGCCTGTGGAGGCATGTCATTTAAGAAGCTTTTTCCAAACGAAGCGGCCTGGAAAGCAAAGAGTAAATTGTACACTTGGAGTGATTCAGGAAAGTCAGCAAGGCGATTGAGCTCTAGATTAACCAACGCTCTCATTCTATCTTATTGCAGGAGGCTGACCCTGGCTGCTTGCAGGACATTCTTCAGAAATAAAGCTACCAGTTGGACCTAGCTCGCGTAAGAGATTTCTACTGCTCTGTTCAACGGGTATACCATTCGACAGCAAACACGGAACAAACTTGTGACCAGTGTTAAAAATATTCTTTTTTCAATAATCATTATGCGTCGATTAAAAATACTTATGGGCTGAAATAAGAGTGTAAATTACTTACGGATAAAAATCCCTGTCCTCTCCGCCGAAAAGCAACAGAGCACAGAGTAGTAGAAATAGAAGTACCTGCGTTCTTTTCAAATACCTAACTTTTTCAAAACGAATATCAAGAATCACTCTGGACAAATCCTGAAACTTGTGCTGGTCAGCGGCAAAGAGCTACAAACTCAATCAAGACCAACTCTGATCAAAACATAAAAGGAAATGTTTATTTACCCTCAAAAGACCTCTTTGTACTGCAGGCTCGTGCTCTCCAGCAGCTGCTTGGATACACTGCTGTACAGCTTCTGAAAGTCGATCCTTAATCATGCGAATGTACTCCTCCGCTCTGGCACTCTTTTTCTGCAGCCGTAAAAAAAGTGTTTCTTGAGAGATAACACTTAATTATTGGGACAGTAATACGTTTGTAAGTTTGAGAATCATAATAAAAAATAGCCTTACGCATTTGGACGCGAGGCGAGAGAACTGGCTCTATAGCACGTGGTCGAGGCTTACTGGTGAACTTGTTCGTAAAAATTAAGTGAAAACACAGATCTTGTTTTGCGAGACTGAAGTTGGATAAAGTGCCACCTCACAACTACAAAAGCATCATTCAATCATCAAGTAATTTTTTCCTCTTCTTTCTTTTCTCTGACATTTACTAGGTAGAATCGACTTCATGTGTTCACCAAATTTTCACGGTCCACGCCCACACATTAAGCAAGTGGCTAACTAAATCACGTGATCCTAACTATAAATTAAGATCGATTGATGAAAACTCTACAACTTAACTAACAATATGTCACACAGTGAGTTTATGATCACTTGCCTCAAATTCTTTTGAAGCATCAAACAACATGGCCCCAGGTTCCATTGAACCAATTTTGAATACTTGCTCCACGGCCGCTGGCAAGTGAAAAGACGACAAATAAATAAAAAGATAAAACTGAGTCGGTGACATTTCTAAGGTAAAGTTTCTTATCATGCCGTTTACATACTTTTTCAATTAAATATTTCAAGCGGATGCTCCAGACACTTTGCGTGAATGGAGGGGAGGGGAGGGAGAGGCGATAATGTGCTTAGCATTCCCCGTTGCAAGCTAGCCGGTTTGGTTTTGCATCTCCTTCCCATATATGCATTCTTAGCAAAGTATTCAAATTACACATTGGTTTCCCAGCAGTATTAACAGGTGAGTAAGGGCAGTTGGGCTTGTTCACCTCATCTTTGTTAAGGAGTTTGCTATTCTCTCTGTTTTTGCCCTTACAGCACAAACCCTCTGATGAATCGATTGACTCAGCCTTAAATAACCTTCAAACAACCAGGGTCTCTTAATGCGGTAGGGAGATAGTTAGCGCCAAAAGGAGTACTCAAATGTACACTCAAAGTAAAATGCAAATAAAATGAAACAATCTGTCCAGTTGTACACATTCTTTTAAAAGTATTTTTTAATGTGTTAGCCGTGATAGCAGAACGATTACTGAGCTGAATTCTGATTTGAGAGGTCTGGGTTTGAGAGTGAATCACTCCCCTCTCCCATTACCTCTCTCCATCCAGGGGCATTAATGGGTACTGGTGAACTGTTAGGGAAGCCTGTTGAAATGCTGAGGAGTGGAGGGGAGGGGGCAGTAACCTTGCAATAGACTGGCATCCCATCCAGGGGGGAGTAGTGATAGTCCAGAGTGGTCACTTAATGCAAAGGAAACTGGGACAAGCTCCGCCTGAGTGGGCCACCAGGCTGAAGTACAAAAGAGAATAGTAACATTTCAGAGCACACTACATGACATACCAGGAACTCTCTGCAGCAGTTCATGAGCGTCATTGCCAATAATTCTCACTCCATCCGCTTCCTGTACCAAGTGCACTACACTGTCCATCTGATATGTGGCACGTGTCAAGGTAATATTGTGTATATTTACTGAGCAATCTATTTTAAGTCACAAAAGAAGCCCAGGACTGCATTGATTCCCTTCACTATGCTCTGCAATTAATTTTGTCTAAGAAACTTTTACCATTTCATCCAAAATGAAAAGCAATAGTTTGGTCGTCCACATTTTTCTGCTCTTAAGATTGTTGACTTGCATTAACTTTGAGTTATCCTTGGTTCTTTGCAATGCTAACCTCTGTTCTGATTGGTTGTAATGACCAGGAAGCTTTGATTTTACAAAATTTGATCAAAAAGCTCTGTAATTCTAAATAAGCAGACCCAACATTTGTGTAAGCTGTGCAGAATTCGTGTAGACATTCTCTGATCTGTGTAGTTAAGTATTTCATGACAGAATGAACCTTAAAACTCCCAGAATCTCAGAGTTAATTGATGAACTAATAATGGTTCACTGAGGCAAGCATTTTAAATATCATTACTTGTCAGTGCAATTAACAAGGTATTAAAATCATGTGAAAAAATAGGAACATAGTACTAATCATTTAAAACAGTAAAAGGGTGAAAGCCTAAAGTTTTTAATTTAATCACATCCATCTGGAGGGACTGCACCTGTTAGCAATATTGTCTTGGTGTTTAGAAACACCACTTGTTAAAGGATATCTAACGGTGTCTTTTGTTGGTCCAACCACATCTAAGTAATCATCCCAATAACATATGACTGCACCCATTGCACACCTGTGAGGTACAAAAGTTATGTTAAACATATGACTTCACCCATTGCACACCTGTGAGGTACAAAAGTTATGTTAAACATCTGACTTCACCCATTGCACACCTGTGAGGTACAAAAACCGTGGATCAGAGTCACCTAGCCTATTCCAGGCATTACCATTTTTGACCCAACCAAAACCTCCTTCACTATTTCAATCTGCTGCTAATGTTGTGCCATTGACTATTTTGCTTAATTTAACCTGGATCCTGCAATCTGCAACAAAATTGTTGACACAATGATCTTTTCAACCCATTATTACTTCAATTTTATCTCTTTTGCCCATGATGTTAAGTTAACCATTTTGCCCCCTCTCCTCCCCCCCCCAAAAAATCAATGTTTTATTGTGATTCCATGAACTTTTAGCTTTTAATTTTTGTGGTTCCATGAACTTTTAACCATGCTGTTCTCTATAAATTTCCTTGGATGCAGACAAGGAGAATTTGTTTCACAATCAAGAGCTTGTTTAGTTAGTGATCATTTCCTTTACTCTTGTGACAAAGGGTTAATGTCATCCCGTGGATAAATCTGTATCCAGAGGGTCTTGCAGTACATTTTTTTAAACTCTTATCAGCTGGATAGTGATTCATCCATTGAATAGTGTTACCTCCCCCTTGAAAAACTGGGACCTTACAGACAACTAAATTAACACACCAAGTTTAATTAAGCAAAATGTCAATTCAGAAAATATCAAAACATCTGTACAAAGTTTCACTTCATTTTGAATTATCACATAGAACTCATTTACAAGTAATTCTTGTAATTTTGAGAGCAGAAACTTTGCTCAAAAGTTTACAAAAAATCAAGCTCAAAATTAACCACATTGGCAAAAATAAATTTGACCTGTTTTACTCTTGATCTCCAAGCAGAATGCATAGCCACAGCAATCTCCCCCCTCTCCCCTCCTAAGCCCCCTTTTCCCTTCTTCCTCCCCCCCCCAAAAAAATTAAATTAACTATAACTAGGTTACTGGTAATATTGATTGTCAGATCAGGGTTATCTGGGGTTCGTATCTCCACAAATGATATATTTTATTCTACACTTATGACAAAATTAATGGTCCACAAGTTTTCTTTCATCCATTCAAAGTTATCTCTAAAAGTTAACTCCATGAAGTCACAACTGTATGAAAGTTATAAATTACCTTCTCATTCCACAACCTACCTACCTACGCTAGAAATTAAAATAATAATAATAATAATAATATAATAATAATAATATAATAATAATAATAATATACATTAATTGAGGCTCCCCCTTAGGGACTTTTCAGCCACAATGTAGACTAACTAAGAGCTTAAAAAAGTCCAAATATGTCAGACTGCCTACCATGCCAGCTGTTTGGGTCTTGAAAGACAACCAGTGTCGAACACACAGTACACTTTCTATTACAAAAAGAAAAGACACATATAGTTCAATAATGAGTCTGTCTACGAGCCTTGGTGGTTAATCTGAATAAACCTTCACACTTGATTCCCCACATCTGATTAGCAAATCCCTCTTTTGGCTGTTATAAATTATATTTCCTGGTAACACAGTCAAAAGGCCTTAAGTGTTTTATCAAGATGGGGAGTTCTACCTGAAGAATTTCTGTATTCTCATCTCATAATTGAGGCATAATGTATTGAAACCTTGAGAAGAAGTTACTTATTGATCACCTCTTGGAGTTATGGGGTAAAAGAGTAGTCAGTATGTCAAAAAAAAAAAAAAAAAAAAAAAAACTTGCCTTTGTCATTCAGTTTTGTTATTTGTGATCCAAGTTGATTTACTCTGTCTTTTGATTTCCTCGTTCCTTCTTGGTAACTTAGCTTATCTTCTGTATTTTTTCACTTTCAACTTAAAGGTATTTTTATACATCGTGAAAACGCTAGTCTTGAAATCACCTTTTCAACTTGAACTTTTGAAAAAGTTAGCTGTTTGTTGTAGAAAGGGGGGAATTAAGTCTAACAACATCAATTAAAAATAGCTTGTTTTAAGTGAATGACTAAAAATTGCTTTTGCACAGCTTAGCATAATTTAAGGACAATCTCTCATTTGACCAATCCATCAATCAGTTTTTCAATCAAACAATCTTTCAATCAGTTAGTCAATCAATTAATCAATCATTATGTCAGTCACAAATTCAGAAACAAGCAAGAAAGATGCAAAACCTCCAAATTTGCAGATCCAATCCATAGCAAGCCAGTATCAGTGAACATTGCCAGGTATTCAAAGTTATATGATATTGCCATCTCTGTAATGGAATTTACTGGTCCTTCCTTGAAGTTCACAGTCTGAATGACAACAAAAAAAAGGGTATGCTGAGTGTCCACTTTTTTCTTTCTTCCTAGTTCCATTTCTCAGAGATCCACCACTATTCAGCTCCACTTTGGAGAATAATTGTTAATTACCTGTTCAAAGTTTTCCTAGTTGTCAAACCATTTCCATACATCCAGACACACAAAGAAATAGAGAAGTTAGCTAAGGATAATTTTTGTATTTTTTTCTCCATCAATTTTGCCATAATTCAGATAATCTTTGCAGCAAAAAATGCTGAGGTTGCCATGCTAACAATCTGTACAAGGCATACTTCTAATGTTTTCCGAATTACACAAATTGACCCAAAAGGATGCAATTTGTGGTATATCCCCTGGTTAACTTCAAAATTGTAGACTGAAGTGAAAGGGGTGAAGCACGGAGTGACTTTTAAGGAAAAATCAACTTCTCCCTTTGTTCCATGATCAGAAGTCATTAACACCTTCCTAACCAGAAAAGGCATTTCATTTTAGTAGGAGGTGAATCGCTAAGAAGCCTCTAAGTGATGAACATAGCACTCCTATTTCTCCAACCTTGAAGCAAAAAATATGGAGCTCCAGCTGTTCTAGAGCTTTATTTCTGAAAAAAAAAAAAAACATTGGGGGGTTGCTGCTTCTGAGCGTTGACTGTTCCAAGGGAAGGGGAAATCCGAGTTTTTAAAAAAAAAAAAAAAAAAAAATACATGTGTATCTATTAACCAACCTGTTTGTTACACTGACTTTTTTCTGTAAGATAGAGAAGATGATCGATTGCCACAAGTAAAGAAGAGCCTCTGTCATGAGGCATTATCACCCAGCTGCTTGGTGGGGCATCTAAACCTGAAAATTTTTTTCAAAAGTATACTTGAGGAAACTTGTATTGTCACTCCCAGATAATCAGAGTCACAATGTCACAAAGCAAATGATGGAGCTCCAAGCTGTAAAAGTTTTTGTCACTATATAGAAGGAAGAAAAAAAAAATTTTGGCACCTTATTGGTGACCACAGTCACCAGTTTGGCAACCTGGAATTAGCAGTCACATACATGTAGCAAGATACTGTGATTTCTTTTTTAATCAAATATTTTTTATTTAAAATTTAAAACATTCCTACAAACGAAACTAACAACAACGACTTTTCATATAAGCAGTACTTAAAATTGTAACAATTGCAACAAGAAGTACAGCAATACTAACCAGATTAACATTACTGAAAACACTAATTTAAAAGCTCTTTCTTCATGGTTACAATGCCAGCTCTTTCGTGTTTTTTAGAAAGTTCTTTATTCCTATTATAATTATCCAATCATTGTTATCATTGCTATTATTATCTCTTAAGTGTACTCTTTACACAGATATCTTACCAACAAATAAAATATTATGATTTGTTACTTGCAGTTTATTTGTTAGTTAGAATGTAACTTCCTGTTGTAATTTGTCTAGAATTTTTAAATCTCTTTCTCTATAAATCTTTTTAATTTATAATATACGTATTACACACTGCCCGCCTCGACTAGCCTTTGCTAACTGCAGGCAGTGCATATTTTTTGTAATATTGTAATATATCATTAAACTTTCATTAAACTTTCAATGAGGCAAACATTCACAAGACTAAAATTGCAAAAAACTCCCCCTGTCTTTTCCTTTCTTTTTCTCTTTTATTTTTGGTGAGAAACAAATTTCTTTTATGGCTATGTACCATTATAAAACTTTATGTTGAAGAATGCTGAGCTTGGAGCCCTAGATGACCCGCTTACACACTACCACACTTAACTGAGAATGACAAAACAAATAATATCTGTTACCTGGAGGATCAAAAAAACGTCGACTACGGACCTCTTCCAGGTTGTTAACCACATAAAAGTGGTAGCTGCCAGTCAGTACTGCTATGCCTGTTCTTCCAGCAAAGTTGTAAATTTTACAATCAATAACCTTGGATTCCTTGGCATCCTACCAGCAGAATAGCAGGCTGTTACAATTATTTCACTTGGAAAATTTAAAGATAAGTTTTTAATTATGGTCACTAGAGTAAATTTGGAAAAATAAAAAGCAGTTTTTCCTTTTAAATGGAAGTTCAAACACTCCGTGCATAATTAGGTGGAGTCTGACAATCTACCATCCACTGAAGACATTTATTTATTTTTGTAGTAATTACAAAATTTGTGAGACATGCAGAAAAGAAATACTATTTTAAGATTCTCCAAAAATCTGTGATCAGGGAGAACAGACAGATACATGATGAATGAATGAATGAATGAACTTTCTCACACACAACTGGGA